CTTAGTAGGTTTCCCCACACCCATCCCTGTCGGTGGGGCCACATGGACGACCTGGAATGGGACATTGTCAAGTTGTATGGATGGTACGAAAAACTGAAGTCATGTCTACACATCGACTTGCAAGTAAATCAACCTATGACAGTTGGAATTTGAAATCAGAGTAAACGTATCCATAGCACCATTTTATTTCTTAATGATCAAGATATGATACAAGCTAACATGTTGGTTTTATTGTTTAATGATGAAGATATGATACAAGCTAACATGTTGGTTTTAGTTCTACCTATTGTATCAATGTAGACAATGGACGACTAATGTAATTTCCCCAATGAGCAGAAATCTTATTGGTGACAAAATCGTTCGTGATTGTAGGCTCAATGATGTAAAAACGAAAGAAAATAATTTTGACATAATGAAAACATCTGTGATGTAATGCGATGATAATAATACCGATTACATCATTAAAACCAGAAAACGACCATCAACAATGATTTAAAGCGGTATCAAATGGACAATATCAGATCTCTAAATTTTAAACAGTCGGTGTTTATCTCCTAATTACCATTTTGTTTTGTGTATTTACAGGGAGAAGATTAAAAAATGTCAAAGCATTATGTCTCAAAAAAGAACTATAAATGTGATATTTGTGGTAAATCATTTAAAGACAATTATAATTTAAGTAAACACATTATGATTCATACTGGTGAGAAGCCATATAAATGTGATGTTTGTAGAAAATCATTTATCACTAGTAATAATCTACAACAACACACCAGAACCCATACCGGTGACAAACCCTTTTGTTGTTATGTGTGCTGTAAATCATTTATCACTAGTAGTATTCTACAGCAACACACCAGAATTCATACTGGTGAAAAACCCTTTTCTTGTTATGTGTGCTGTAAATCATTTAAAACTAGTAGTCATCTACAGCAACACACCAGAATTCATACTGGTGAAAAACCCTTTTCTTGTGATGTTTGTAGTAAATCTTTTACCTCTAGTAGTAATCTACAACGACACACCAGAACTCATTCTGGTGAAAAACCCTTTTCTTGTGATGTTTGTAGTAAATCTTTTACTGCTAGTGGTAATCTACAACGACACACCAGAATTCATACTGGTGAAAAACCCTTTTCTTGTGATGTTTGTAGTAAATCATTTATCACTAGTAGTAATCTTCAACAACACACCAGAATCCATACTGGTGAAAAACCTTTTTCTTGTGACGCTTGTAAAAAATTATTTACCACTAGTGGTGATCTACAGCGACACACCAGAATTCATACTGGTGTTAAACCTTTTTTTTGTTATGTTTGCAGTAAATCATTTTCCAACAGTAGTCTTCTACGACAACACATCAGAATTCATACTGGTGATAAACCCTTTTCATGTGATGTTTGTAATAAATCATTTACACGAAATAGCAATCTACAACAACACACAAAAACACATACTGGTAAAACAAACGTTTTCTTGTGATGTTTGTAGGAAATCATTTATGGTTATTTCCATAAAATAGATTTAGATATGAATTATTTTAGCACCAATAACAATTAAATTTATCTTCAAGTATGGTTCTTCAATTGAACAAGAAAAATAAAATCTGTACAAAAGGAGTTTAATTAGTTTGTTATGAATGAAAAATAAAGGATAGTTTCATTTATCAACCTAGTCAGCTATTTGAAGCGACGTAGACCTACAGATAACATTAAACCCATCACCCCATTGCTATGCTCAGATTTTCAAATGAATGTGTTTTGTCATCCTCTAGAAGTCTATATTGTTAACCCTAAACCTGTCTTAAAATATGTATCTTACCGGTATATCTCTAAGGTCTATATTGTTAACCCTAAACCTGTCTTAAAATATGTATCTTATATCTCTAAGGTCTATATTGTTATCCCTAAACCTGTCTTAAAATATGTATCTTATATCCCAAAGATCTCAGTTCCTTTCGATATTGATGCATATCGGATCGCAACATCCTGGATTATGGCCCCTGATTGTAAGAAAAATCACCCTTTTTGTAGCTTGTTCTCTGTCATATCTTGTAAAATGGGGGTACACCTCGGACAAGATGGTTCCTCAGTATTTTCCAGCATGGTTTCCCTCTGACAAGGTTGTAGGATGGAAGGTCTGACAAGGTCATGGTTGTGGGATCGACGGCCGGACAAGGTTGTGGAATAGACGGCCTGACAAGGTTGTAGGGTGGAAGGCCTAACAAGGTTGTAGGATGAAAGGCCTGACCATGAAGAGCTTCTAGTCATAACTAGACCTTATATACTATTCAAAAAAAGTAGGGGATATTTGATTTTGGGGGCATAATACTAAAATATGCAAATGACTACGAAAAAAGTCACTATAGAACCTAACAGAAGAAACATTTCCAGTTACATGTGACGCCCAAACGCACCAATAGCTACCGCATGGAATGCAGGTGATGCTTGGGATCATCATGGGGATCCAACCCAAGATTTGCACGACTCTGACTTTGAATGTTACAGTCATTGTGGCATTGAATTCCAGGGTGGAAACATCAGTTTAATTGTTTTAGTGACCAGAAAACAAATTTTGATATGCGTCGGCTTACCCAAAATGAAAGGTTACGTGCCCTTGGCATGCTACAGATCGGCACAACACAGGCGGTTGTGGCGCGGACGATGAATGTTTCTCAGTCTGTCATAAGCAGGCTATGGTCCAGATACCGTGATACACAATCTGTACAGGACAGACCACGCTAAGGTCGACCAAGGGCGACAACTCAAGCCCAGGATCGATTTATCCGTACCTTGGCCTTGAGAAATCGTGTCATCACAGCAAATCAGATCAGCGCTCGTCTTCAAACAGACACTGGTGTGAGAGTGAGTGGCCAGACGATTCGGAATCGACTGCATAGGGGTCACCTTCGCGCCCGACGTCCTCGCGTGATCCCTTGTTTGAGAGATCATCACATTCAGGCAAGACGTCGTTGGTGTAGGGATCGTCAACACTGGGATAATCGACGCTGGAGCAATGTGATGTTTTCAGATGAGTCAAGGTTCACTGTTGATTTTTTGGACAGACGTAGGAGGGTGTGGCGCCGTCGAAACGAGCGCTTCCAAGACGTTAACGTCATCAGACATGATCGATTTGGGGGTGGTTCTGTTATGGTGTGGGGAGGCATCACTGTTGCTGGAAGAACGGCTTTACATGTTGTTGCAGGGCGTGTTACAGGCCAGTACTACCGGGACAACATCTTGGCAGTCCATGTTGTGCCGTTCGCACAACGTCATGGCCGCCGTTTCATCTTCCAGGATGACAACGCAAGATGTCACAGGGCCAGGATCGTTACAGGTTACCTCCAACAACAGAACATCACCACATTACCTTGGCCAGCACTGAGTCCCGACCTCTCCCCCATCGAGCATGTCTGGGACATGCTTGGACAGAGGTTACGTCAACGTCAACAACATCCTGCCAATGTCCAAGAACTTGCTGCTGCGTTGCAACAGGAATGGGACAATCTGGACCAAAATGACCTTAGACGTCTCATTAGGAGTATGCCACGTCGGATCAATGCTTGTTTGGCAAACAGAGGAGGATTTACCCGTTACTGACTTGGTTGTGATGCTGTGGTAACTTTGCTGTTTGACCCCGGATATCATTTTACCCTTATAATGGTCAGTCTGTGCCCTACTTAGTCTAACGATCATTTGGAATAAATCGATGAATGTGAACTTCATTTCATTTTGTCATTTGTTTCTTCGTCAGTTTCATTAGGTGACTTTAATAACACTTAAAAATCAAATATCCCCTACTTTTTTTGAATAGTATATTTAGCGATGACAGATTTCGTTATTGATCTTTTTATTTACCTTTAAACAATATAAATTCATCTTACAATAAAACTGATCAACAAATCATGTACCGTAATGAGTTTCAGTGCCATTTGTAACAAGGGACTCGAAGAGCGAGGCTAGACATATTCCACAGGTCATGTCAAATGGCGATGTCATATTCTTATCTGCAGAGCATGCGCAATAAATACTATCGGTGTAGACTGGAATAACCAGACTTAAGAGATTGCCATTCGATTGAAACTTCTGGTGTATTTCGCCGAACATAACTGATTAGAAATTACAGTAAAAACAGAAACGATTGAATGTAAATCAGATTATATACATTCATATAACATTATTATATGCGTTGCTACCCATTTGTGTCCATTTCTAGGTCCCAAATAACCAGACGCTAGAGACTGCCATTCGATTGAGACGTCTGGCATATGACCAGAAAAAGAGAGACGATTGAATGTAAATCAGTTTATATACATTCATATAACATTATTATATGTGTTGCTACCCATTTGTGTCAATTTCTAGGTCCCAAATATTAGTGATTTAGCTCTTTTAAAGAAACAATTGTTTATATAAAGCCGATGACACAATCTGAATAAAATATTAATCAATATTTCGTTTCATTCTTTTATACAGTCAATGGCTTACACTACATGATGATCTGGCCAGTTGTAGTGGGAGGTCGCGCTAGGGGTCATACAAGCGGGTTATATAACAACTCTTCCAGATCCTAGTGTAAAAGACCAGTAAGACGAAATTTAGATCTCTTAAAAACAAAACGAAATAGGATCTGTGTCAGATTGCAGATGATATTAAAATTATAAAATAATGAAGTCCGCCCCCCGCCCCTCAACAAGAAGTCAGAGACAAGATATAATCTATAAGAGACAACATCGTGTTTTATAAGATACGGTCCTGAATTCACTAAGCATTCTACTGAACTATCTTTAACAATATTTATTCCAATAAGATTGATGTCAAATACACATATACATTGATGTCAAAACCTCTTAGTAAATCGCCTTCTTCTCAATACAAAATACTACAAAATACAATTTCAATATTTACACTTTATACTTAGCAGTATGTTTAAGTTGCCATTATTGTGACGGAGTTCAGCATGCAGTTTGTTTGAGATGAATGCTAGGAGATGATTTTATATGTGTGGGTCATAAGCTGCAAAATTGATCTCCTGGATCATTCTTATGATATAAATTACAGACTGTATTTATCCTTTATAGTGTATAATGTACATTCACTCAAACTATAATGGTTGGTAATCTTGAATTATGAGTTACTCGGGTAGGAGAGGGTCCACGTCAAATTTAGAACTTCCAAATGTTTATAAAATGGCGGATATCTGACTCGAGCAAATAAGACGTAATTATTAATCTGATATAACGTACCGATATGTAACTTCATTGTAGATGATTAATATCTGTTATTTAGTGTTCAATTAAATATGAAGAAGCATAACAAATAATTTTAGTTACTACAAGGTAATGATTTAACTGCACGACCTAGTTACACCCACCGGAAATGAATTGGCCACCAAGCCCGCCATATTGTAGACCACACAGTAGTAGGACATTAAACCCCAATATATTTTATATGTTTTATGGATGATTATTTATGCCACTTAATGTACAACTTTATTCAGGTTCAGAATATCAGAATATCTAAATATAGATAGGCCTTTTTATTATAATCTTTAGTGATTGTAGGGAGGACAACAAAATATTCAACTATCCCGTATGGCATTAATTCTGTTATGTCTGGATAGGGCTGTCCAACAGCTTTACAATGACACCAAAATGAGCTTGAAAGGCCCTATATTAATTGTCGCTAATTTAATTAACGCCCCTTTTGTCTGAAGAACAATGAATGTAAAGTGAGGTCATTCCGCGCGGTCGCGAGCGGTAAAATTCCAATTTCTTACATGGCAGTCACTTCGAAACTGGTTCAAAAATTTTCCGCACTTCATATTTTGACTCTGCACCTACCGATTTCATTGAAAACTCGCAGAATTAAAGTTGAATATATGTATTTTCAAATCAATATATTATTAACCCTATGCTATCCTGGTACCCGTCCCAAAAATCAAGTTGTTTTCTACTTTCATTTTGACTTTTAGTTTTCTCCGCACTCGGAGCAGCTAGAGTAAAAATTCGAAAAAGAGGTCACAGTTTTTATCTGCTTTTGATGAAACTTGAATGTATGTTTATAGCCCTAATATCTTGCTTCCTTGTGATATTCATGCATATTGGACCATAACTTAATGTATTATTGCCCCCGATTGTACGAAAATTCACGTTTTTCTTGTGGTTCCTCTAGAGATCCCAATTTTTATTCAATTTAAAAAAATGTTTGAATATATCACCGTTACAATACAACCTAATGACATTACCGGGCAAAATGGCCACTCCCTGTTCACAAATAGGATTAAAGTGTGTAAAATCAAGGTTGTGGACCATCTAGATGTTACAGCTTTTATCCAATTTCGATCAAACTTAAAGCATTTGTTTATATAGCAAAGATCTTTTGATATTCACGCATATTGGACTATATCTTCCTGGGCCCTGTTTCTCGAAATCGTAACTAAAGATAAAATCCAAATATTAGTAGACACTTCAATTTTGATTGGCTAAGCACTAAAATGAATTTACTATTATCCAATCAAATTACTAAAACATTGTGATGTTAAAAATCGTTTCAATATATCATCGATACAACCTGATGATGGCTGAGTTCAAATTTTGTGAAAATCGGAACCGAAACTGCTTGGCAAAATGGCTGCTCCTTGAATGCAAATAGTGTAAAAGTATCTAATACCAAGGTTGTGGAAACTCTAGACTTCACAATTGTTATCTGATTATATATGTTTATAACCCCAAGATCTCGACGCATATCGAAAACCAACTTCCTGGATTAATACCCTGAATTGTATAAAAAAATCACATATTAGCTTGTAGACCCTCTAGAGGTTACACTTTTTATCCAACTTTCAAAACCATTTAGTTCAAATTTCGGGAAAATCGAAACAAAGCTGCTCAACAAAGTGGCCGCTTCTTGTACGCGAATAGTTTAAAAGTATGTAATACAAAGGTTGTCGACCCCTAGATGTCAATTTTTTTCCGTTTTTTGTGAAACTTAAAATATATGTTTATATACAAAAGATCTCAGTTCCTTTTGATATTCACACATTTTAGACCATAACTTACTGGATTATGGCCCCTGATTGTTCGAAAAATCACTCTTTTTTTTTAGCTTGTTCCCTATCCATTTCTTGCAAAATGTGGACGAATCTTGCCTGACAACGACTGGTTTTCATGCTTGTCATTTGAGCAAATATCGAATGTTGTTAACATTAGTGAGATGAAGAATTCTATTTGATTTCAAAAATTTCCGTTATTACTTCAAGAGTTGTGGCCCATGTTTCACTTTGTAGAACCTTGTGAACGACTAAAGTTATGATCCATTCTGTACTAAATTGATATGCATTATTTAAATTATGACAACAAAGAATCCTATTGAATTTCTACTCAGGGCCCTGTTTCACAAAAACTTAAATCTCCTTAAAATCGTCTTAAACTAAAATTCCATCCTAACTTAAGATAGATGCGTTTCACAAAATGATTTTAAGCATTTAAGATAAAATCCACTAAAATAATATTGTAAGTTAAAATTGTATCTTAACTTAAAATAGTGGCGTTTCACAAAACTATTTTAGGGACAATTTTAACTAAAATCAATTTTAACTTAGGACAGCCGTCACCCTCTCCTAACTTAAAATCACGACATTAACAAACATTGATTAGAGCTACGTTGTGAGATCTATTGCGACATATAGATATATTTGGAATAATGATAATATTGCCAATGGCCCGGGTTATATAATTTAAACATATTATCATTCAAAAAATAATTTTCATTCAATTTCTTTTAATTGCATGGGAAATATAGCTGTAAGGCAATATAAGCAATTAGATGATGACCCAAATTACGGTATAACCCCAAGAACAAAAAAACCCTCAAAACCCCAGTAATCAAAACTCTTTGTTACTATTTTATATATTAGGCCTACGACATGATTCAAGTATAAATTATAGTATTTTCAAATAATTAATAGACCCCCCAAAAAACACTAAAAAAATCTAAACACTTTTCATATCTAATGTCTATAAAAAAAAATATCTTTGTAGGCCTACAATTGTTTAAATTGAGAGCGAGAGAGAGACAGGGGGAGTGGGGTATAACGTCCACTAGACACAAACTAGGTCATTTCGGGACTAACACATGGTTTAATTTTATTTGAATAATTCACTAGAACGTAGAGGTCTTTATAAGTGGGAGGGAACCGGAGGATCCGGAGAAAACCCACGAGGTTGGACGGGCGACCCTACTCCCTGTCTGGTACAACCAGGGAATCGAAACCCCATCAGTCCTATAATACTAGAAATGGTTCCACTACTGATGTCTTCCGCCTTACAGTTTAACGTTACAAGTATAGTAACTACTATAATACTAAATACGCCATATGCAAAGTATATATGGTTTTGGGGTTATGATGATTTATGTAGGAGCCAAGGGTAATTTATATTGGGAAATTTAATTTAGTAAGTTAGATAGGCATTATCGAATAAGTAGTGGGGCACTTTGGCATTTTAAAATTATTATTGAAAGCGTCCATGGAACATGGTTATTTCGTGTATTAGTTATTAAATACTTTTAAAATTCGACAATACTTTAGTCTAGATTAATCGTTTGAGTCAGAATATCACATGTATGTGACAATTTCTCAATAGTTTCTGTTATCGAAAATACCATAAAACTACTAAATTCAAGCGATTTAGTTTATCGATACGCATTATTTCCATTGAAGCCTGCAAGTAAATCAAATGCCAAGGTCACGAAAGCGACATGCAAGTTCAAGGCCAACCAACTGATACATTTCAAAGCGAATAACCCGCAATAAACATATTTATTTCATCTCTCTACGACTGTCTGACAATCTGCAGACATTGTTACAACGTATGAAACTCTCCTCATTGGTATTGTAACGGTTAGTTCAACCTGGCAGCAGTTTTCAGTTCCGAAGCGTGTATATGCTTACACCCTAAGTGCCCTCGCCGGAATTATGCACTGCACGAGCGCAAGCAATTTTAACTAAAATGTATTAAAATCACATTTTAAGTTACAATCGATCTTCGTGAAACGCATAAAATTTTAAATTACAGTTTGATTTTAGTTAAAATCAATTTTAGTGATTTTAGTTTAAGTTTTTGTGAAACAGGGCCATGATGATTAAACAACTGTGGGCGTATCTTTTGTTGCATGACAACTGATCTTACTTTCAACCTATTGATGCCCAGTAAACAGGTGAAAACTATAATGTAATGATCTGTTGATGTTTTAAATGAGGATAGCTCCCCCTTCATGTTACAGTTTGTGTATCTGAAGATATACTTTATGAGCAAGACATGCTCCATCTGTGGTCTGTGGCCTTTTAATGAAGATTGAGTCGTTACTGATATTTTATCTGAGGTTATAAAATATACCTGTGTTTATTGATAGTGTTCGAAATTAATTATACTGTGAAATTATGGTTGTGTCATTACTTCTACCAATTAGATCCAGGTAAAAATAACAAATCCTCTGTCATTTTCTCACCTGGAATAAAACTACAGCATTTCAAGTCAAAAGTTAGAATGGTTTATTGTTAATTTTGATAAAAATAATTAAACAGTAAATTTAAGCCCTTTTCTTGTGATGTTTGTAGTAAATCATTTACCACTAGTAGTATTCTATAGCAGATGGAATATTAAGGTAAAAAGTTTAGAGATGAACAATCATATGCCAAATGAAAGTTATTCAGTTTATTCAGAATGAATAGAGGAGATAACACTTGTTTGACTACCTCCCTAAACAGTGTCATTACCCTCAAAATTTGGCACTCTCCGGTACTCTGATTTTGGTCAACTTTAGGGCGCGATTCAGTAGACTACAACCAACTTAACTAAAATCCAACAAAAATAACATTTCTTGCAATTGTTTGGGGTTTGCCTATCTTGCAACACGATAGATGTTAAAAATAAACCAAAGACCAATATTAAATTGCTTTCTTATTAAATTGCTTTCTTATTAATATAAATACCACATGATGCAATTGCAATATGTACACATAGAGAATCTCGTACAAGTCTTATTTGATATCAAAAAATATCAACACAGTTGATAAAGTAACAAAAAACGAGGCTCTGTCGATTTTTTTTTTACTTTAACAAGAGTGTTGATATTAATTATTATTTATCATTTTATCACTCAATCCTTTCTTTCCTGCGCATATAAATAAATGTAATTATTTGCTATAGACTTCACTTTTACTTAACCTGATTGCACTACGGCGTAGTGATACATCATTTTTTGACAGCAATTCAACCATTGCAAAGTCCTTATATTGATCTTCTGGGTCATTCAAGTCAAATACATTACAGATTCTGTTTAACATTTATATTTATAATTTAAATTACGGAATATAATATACACTCACGGAGCCACAGTGTCTTAAGTGAGCAAGACGCTGGCTTACTAGCCTGGAGGTCGGGTGTTCGATCCCTGTATTGGCCGAGAAAGTTCATCCCGATTTTCCAACGTGGTTACCCCTTGTCAGTGGTGCAGGACGGAGGGCCTGACAAGGACATCTGTCTAGTCATTCGCATGAGATAAAAACCGAGGTCCCGTGTATTCATCAGCATACACGTAAAGGACCCCTTGACAGTGAAATTCGATGTAAGAGTAGACCATAGTGCAGCTGCCCGGTTAAAATTTCTCTCATAGCACACCATATGGCGTATGCCGTCTTCATTAGCCCAGTCATAGTAGAATAGTAGGACGTTAAGGTTAAGCCCCATTCATTTTCATTCATTTAAACTCCCGCAAACAACAATGACCTGTTATCTTCAGATATGAGTTACTCGGGTAGGAGACGATCCATGTCGTATTTTAAACTTAACAAACCTTATAAAATGGTGGATATCTGATTCGGGCAGACAAGTCGTGATTATTAATTTGATATACATTACTGGTATCTGTAAGTTCTTTGTAGATGATTACTATCTGTTATTTAATCTTCAGTTTAATACGAAGAAGTGTAACCGATAATTTAAGACTTTGCAGTAATTGGCTGCAGAACAGTAGCCGACGTAAACTTCACTACTTTATTAGGGTGACCCGTGCACTCTACAAAAAATTGAGGCGTTTTTACGAGAAAACAAATCAGTTTCGATTTCCTATCTCGTTTTCTACAACTACATAGGTCTCGAGTTGGTATTCTAATCGGATCTTGTAAACACGATGAGTTGCCTCACAAGATGGCTGAAGACTGAAGAATTGAGGAAAAATAGATAATGTAAATAGCATATTCTAAAAATTTCAGTCAAATTGCTCCACTCTGAACCAAGGTATTAGCTTTTGAATTTTAGATTAGCCTCGGTCATCAGTATTAAAGTCTGTACGATAAAAAAAACAAATTCTTGATAATCCATCTTTACGTTTAATTATTTTTCAAAAGCGGTATTCCAATCCACTAAATATTGTGGGCTAGTGATGGCATTAATAGTTGATTATGGTCTTGAGAAATTAATTAATGATTTAGATAACATTTCAGGCCTAAAGAAAGACCTGTAATAGACAGATTTAACTCTTGAATAATGTATTTATTGATTCATCAACTAGTCAGTCTTATGTTATTATTGTTGAACCATTTTTATTTCATCTTTAAAAATCATCTGTTGTCTATCAATGAAAATCACCTATACATTATCTCTTAATTCAGGGGTTGCATAGGGTTCTTTATGTAATACTATAGCGTCTATGTAGAGGTTACCTATATACTGTAATTCAGGGGTTGCATAGGGGTCTTTATGTAATGCTATAGGGTCTATGTAGATGTTACCTAAGTTCAGTAAAAGATGCTCTGGTCAATGTATTGAAGTCGTCAGCTAGTACCAGTGACAACGAGAACTAGGTTAACAAGGATAAGTCTGGTAGTTTGAAATCGGGCAATGACATCATAGTCTGATAATCCAAATATAGCAACCACATGCGTTAGAAACGTGGTTAGCCACCCTCCTGGGTGCCCATATAAGTACACTGTGTTGAAATCCAGGGTAGCGTCTGTGCAACTGACCAATCCAATATAGGAAGTACCTGGTCAATTTCCCAGGGCTCAATACATGACTCATGCACCTATCCTCTTTATATAATAAGAACGGGGTTTACTTTCTTTCAGACGTCATAGAGCAATCCGAGAGGGGAACATCATACTCACAGCCTCCTAGGCTGAGAGACTGGGAAACGGACATCAAGATGAGACCGTAGAGTGTGTAGTTTCCTGTAGATAACCTTTGTATTATGGATGCTATAAAGATATAAAAACATAGTTAACATAAAAAGTGTTCCAGAGTTAATTGATCATATGCACAACGTGAACGTCCTGACTAGGTAAGAGTCACCCTAGTGTCACGGGCCATATACACAACGTGGAAGTAATTCATAATTCATCTAATTAGCGACACTGTAGTGTCCCAGCTAGACGTGGGAGAAATCAGAGGCCCCCATATCTCTGTCACTTACAACTTATACACTGTATATTGCATATAGGACATGCCTTCTTCTCATCCACATGAGAGAGGGGGAGAGAGAGAGAGGGAGGGTTGGAGAGAGGGAGGGGAGAGAGAGGGCTCCACTTGTCACAAGCTAGGTCATTTCGGGACATATATTTAATTTTTATCTCTCCCCCCCCCCCCCGCCATAATGACTGGGTATTAATTTAAAGTTAATCGGATAATAATGGTAGCCTCCAGGGTGTCCTGAAGCAATTGTAAAGGTCACAAATATATACAGTAGGTGTCCTCAAACCAATTGTGACCACTTGACGTGAGGACAATATACAATCACATTTCAAAGTGGGCGTATTGATTTGTGTAAAAGAAAAAGTTAAAAGGTGCATTATGTAAGATTTAGATAAAGAGCTGACCTTTCTTGCTACAATAGCTCAAAAATATCATTCAAATTACTTTATTCTGAGCAAGTAATCTGTGATAGAAGTTTTGCAAAGATGTAGTCATTTATTATCGTAGCAATGGTACTGAGCCTTGATTCCCCATTTGTGTTTCAATCCATTTAAATCTCGACCACCCGATAGTCTAGAGTTGTCCATTGGCTAGTCATATAAACAAATGTCTGAATAACATTTGAGAGAGAGAGAGAGAGAAATGGGGTTTAACGTCCACTCGACACAAACTAGGTCATTTCAGGACTAACATATGGTTTGATTTTATTTCAATAATTCGCTTGCGCTTAGGGGTCTTTAACAGTGGGAGGAAACCAGAGGACCCAGAGAAAACCCACGAGGTTGGACAGGCGACCCTACTCCTTGCCACGTACAACTGGGGATTCGAAACCACGCCAGTCTGTCAATGACAGACTTTATGATACAGCGCGCGCACGCTAACCATTCAGCCATCCAACCCCCCAATAACATTTGAAGACAAAATATAGAATAAGTTATTGCACATTACTAATTGTGCCATATGGAGGCCTCATTAAGTCACCCAGATTTCATCCTTATCCGTCATAAAAGCAGCCAAGCGAATATTTACTGTGGATCAGTCTGCATTGAGAAAACCAACTCCCATGGCATTGGTACAATGAAATTTAGCTGGACTTAAACTCATATGATTTATATCAAAACTATTATTTAATATTACAATTTGAATACAATATTATTATAAATTATATCAAAATTATTATATATAATATTACAATTTCAATACAACATGGAAAAGACTGAAGTTGGGGGTTGATATGGTGCAGTGGCGATTATGAGTTACTCGGGTTGGAGAAGATCCACGTCACATTTAAACACATCCATTGCTAAAAAAAAATGGCGCCAATCTGATCGCATCGCGCGGTCGGGAAGAAATTTTATTAGATTAATATATCGTACGTACAGGTAATTAACTTCTATATAGATGATAACGATGCACGATATAATTGTAGTGATTCCGGAAGTTGATAAAACCAAGTTATCTTTGACAATTTTGTAACATTCAAGTTTGGTTTGGCTCTCCCAAACTCCATTACATTTTACTGTGTGAACCATCGTAAATTTAAAACGGATTTCTTCGATTATGAACAAACTACTTAACTTTGGTTATTATAAACTTACTTTTATGTTTGAAATCAACTCCCGTTAAATAAAATTCACTGCATAACTAATAATCCCAACGAATAAAAAAGTTCTCTCTTGAAATAGGGATTTCAGGTCACGTGAAATCGGACAGCCAGCGGCTGAAATATAGCCCACTTCAATCTACGATTCTGAATTACTATGTAAATGCATTACTAACGAATGTATTGCAATAGTTTAATATCAATCTCAATATCTGCAAAGATTCAGGCTAAAAAATTATCGAAATGTAAGCGAAATTACCGTTTGTTTACATGAGACGCTCGCAGGAAAATACCGCTCTGACATCACGCGGCCTGAGATTTTCCATTCTACGACTCACTTCATTGGTGAATCCACACCTTAGTTATAGTTACCGGGGTATCTTGATATAGAACCAATCAAATGATAGCTAACATTTTTGTGGTTATTATGCTTGTTGATACCACGTGATCGGACAATTTGACCTGAAGAAAAAGGGATTTACCTGTTTTGATGACTGAAAATTGCCAAATTTCGACTAAATATAAAAAAACTTTCTTGAGGTATCATCCAGATTATAAATATTTGACATATTATCATTCAAATTATTACGATTTTAATCAATTTTAGCTGACAATAACATGCGGATTTAAGTTTTAAAATTGGTACTAGCGATTCTGAAGGGAAAATACCGCTTATGACGTCACTCAAATATGACTTAAAAGCACTTATTTTGGTGCCATGCCACGCATTGACTGGTATAGAGCATTTTGATTACATTATTGACGTCGATCTATAACTTTGGATCTAATTAGAGTATTTTGATGAAATAAAAAAAATTGGGTAGCATTTTATGTATATTTTCACAAAATATTTAAAAAAAATTTTTTTCTGTCATTTGAAACTTTGACCTGAAACCCCTACTTGAAAAAAATTGAATTCCCACAAACTTTGACACAGAAAAATACCAATATGGAAGCTGATTATGTCACTCTCCGGGAGATATCATTTCGTATAAGGGGTGACAGCATAGGAAATCGGCACTTTTATGACAATTCAAGTTTGGTTTAAGAAAAAGCTACAGTACAAATCTCGGCTCGGCATTGAGTTTGGGCGTTCACAAACATAACTGTCCGTATTCTTTTATTTTGTTGCTGTCTTTTACATTTTAGTAAAATCTCTGAAAATTTTATAATTTTACACCTTTTGAAATTTTTTGTTTTTATTTTGTTTTAGCTACTCGGGCGAGATCATTTTCTTTTGAACACACATGCTGCACAACAACAATTACATTTGTTTTACGGGCCTTAAATATAACCCATGATTATCTTTAATATGATAAATTAATAACATATTTTTAGTTTATATATGACTTTATTTTTACGAGTATCAGTGATATTTTCATTGTGAATAAAATTTGATAGACTGGCGATCAATGGTTTCAACATGGACCGTGTATGCACAGTAGGATACCTCAAACTCGTCCATACTCTTTGAGTACACGGCCCATATAAGAGGGCTGATTAGCTGGAGGGTTGGAATGGCCCAGTGGTCTAGAGTGTCACGCTTCAACCTCTAGCTGGCCGGGCACCTCTGGGTTGCGGTTGTGGTTTCAATCCCTGGTGTGAGTGTTTGTGGCGTGGAGATAGGGGCACCTTCTCAATCTCAACCTCGTGGGATTACTCCGGATACTCCAGTTTCATCCCACAGGAAAGACCCCTGCGCGTGCACTAAGATAATGAAAATAAAAAAAAAGACAACTTGTCTGCGATATCACCTTCGGTGGAAGCCGACATTTAAACACTAACAACAACAACAACTGGAGGGTTTTATTGCATACCAATTTGGTTGGATTTCAACAGACATGTTATTTGCTCTTAAGCCAGGCTAAGACGGGCAACTTTTTCGAGCAACTTTCAGGCAACAGTGAAATCGCTGGTCGTTGAAAGAAAACATCGCTCGTCTGCGCCAACGGGCAACAATAGTTGCCTGCTGTTGCTCCGAGTTGCTTCTCGTTGCCAAATATCAAACATGTTTGATATTCGACAACAGAAAATCGCTCGTCGCCGAGAAATTGTTCATCTGTTGCTTCAAAATTGCTCGTCTGCGGCGGTAGGCGACAACAGGCAACAAGCAACTGGTTAACTGTCCAATCAGCGAGCGCTCTACTGTCATGTGATACTTCAAGATGTATGTACGGCGCCATTTTGAATGATCGCGTGATATCGGCATTCCGGATACATTCGGGGAAAAATTGCTTCTCGTTGCCAGTCAGCGCACACGGGAGACCTCGAGTTGCCAATTGCTCGGAGTTGCCAGTAGTTGCCTATTGCAGCAACAAGCGACGTTAAGTTGACCGTCTGCGCCAAGCTTTAGTCATTTGATACAATAGTATAATTGTAAATAATATTATGAATATCCAAACTATTATACATAATATTACAATCTGAATAATAATAATAATAATAATATCTTTATTTTTATAAATTCTTCTACACATATGTTTCAGACTCGCTGTACACTGACATATTAGTAATAAAACAAAGATGATACATACCTGTAAAATTCTAAAATAAAAGGTAAAATATAGCACAAAAGGTGAAATATCAAAATACAAAAATTAAAAATGAAACAAAAGGATTAAAAAAGATATACATACAACAAGTTCATGTTGATGTTGATATTTAAAGGGCTAATCCTGATCAATTTTTGGAGAATAAAACTGCTTAAATTTGTGTTAAAATCCTCTACCTAAGGGCCGTACTAAGACTTTTATTTTTGAGTCTCTGTTCAAATCGGGATAGTCCCCTTTAACTTCAGCTAAGATATGACACGAAAACTTAATCAGATATGAATTCCTCTGGTTGGAGGTCTTCCGAATCATGTTTCAAACTCAGCCAATGCTTATATTTATATTTAAAGGGCTATGTTGTAGTATTGGGTAGTATGTGGTGATATTGGGATGGTATTGGGTAAATCGTGCCCTAAATGACCTGTAAGCTGAAGATATGAGTTACTCGGGTAGGTGACGGTCCACGTCATCTTTTAGTCATGAATATTGCTTATAAAATGGCGGATATCTTATTTCGTGAGATAAGACGTAATTATTAATTTAATGTTCTATACATTATTAGTGTCTAAGTTCTTTGTAGATTATTGATATCTTTTACACAGCAAATAATTTAATACGTTCATTGTAGATTATTGAAATCTATTATTTAATGTGGAATTCAATACCAAGAAATAGCCTTTCCACCTAAATTAACAAAACTTTTTAAAAAAATCTAAAAATGTGTTAATATGATCCAGAGGTGTATATATTGTTGTGAAAAACAATTTAAAATTGCATCTGGTTGTTTATTTTTCATAATCAAAAAAATAATAAATTTTGGAGCTTATGGTAGGGTGACCCACCATAAATAAATATCTCCAAATATCTCGATAATTACGCCACAATATTTATATATATGCCAAGCCTCAAATCAGTTTCACACAATTATAGTCACTAAATAAACGATCATGTTGTACTTAATAAGCTATGACCATTAATCATCTATAAATAATAGACTGAAAACTGGTTCCAAGTTGCGTCCATAACATCCAGACACTTTTGAGTAAAAGATAGGTTACGTGCCCTTGTTTTGAAATTAGTCTCGCTTAACCAGTCTATCGACCATTCTACGTCTGATTGACAGGTCGGGATAATCAAGACTACTTTTTTACGAAACATAACAGAAAGCTAGAACAAGAAATTGAATTTAGAAATAAGCACTTTAGACAACTCAACAATTGTTTTAAGAAACTTGTAAAAGTAAAATGAAACTACTGCTAGTATCATGTTCCTGCTAAAGAAAGTGATTCAGAGATAGTATTTGTACTAAACCAAAAGATGCCGCTCTTAACGGTACAGTTAATGATAAAGCAATTTAAAAAATAAAACAAACGTAATTACTAAAGCTGCTGTAATAACCAAGAAGCTAAATTTTACTGCTATTCAAAATCGTCAACAATAGATTTTTTACGGCTGTAATAGTTGATATATTTGTAGAGAATTGCACGTGCCATGGCTATTTATCGACTTAAAGCGACTGCGGGGTAGTCAGAAATCAGTTCGAGACACGCAACTGAAGCGTGCACATTTAGCCGTGTCGAGACCAACTTTCTGTAAAGTGCACGGGTCACCCTACTTATGTATTAAAGGGTGATAATGTTAGCCAAAATGTCTGGTTCAAAACATAAAAGGGGAACAACTCTTGTTTTATTTTTCACAGATTTCAAGCTATAGTCTGTTTCAAAATAAGTAGCTGCAACAAGATTGTGACAGATTGTATTTGGATTATGTTAAAATCAAGTTTCAGTGCTAACTTTATCCAACAAAATCATATAATTATTAAGCAGTAATCATTTTAAATGTGCACATACATGCATTATGGTATAGACATGGCCATATTTGTAGCACATACATATATTGAAATGAACCATAATCTAAGAAAGACAACTCTGTTAACAAAAATTAATATATTTCAGAAAAATTACTACTGCATCAAAAGGAGAGCACTAAAAATTATAATAATTTCTCCAAAAATAGATTAGATACTGATAATCATGTTCATAATGGATATTTACTGAAAACAGTATAAACGATATTAGAAAATAAATATTTTAGACACCACCCCTTTGCCAGTAGAACATTAATTATTTTTTTTGTAGATCTGTAAGTCGATGACAATTTAAATAAATGGTTAAATATAAGATGTTGTAACATATACTTTGCACAGGAATTTTAATCTTCGAAGTATTTGTTGGATTTATCATAAAAATCATCTAAAACAACTTGTGACAGACTCGTCTCTATCATAACATTGAGCAGACATTAAATTATTTCAACTTCCGGTTTAAAGAGTTACCTCCCTTAGAGCAGATGACATGTTGAGTAGAAAGGCTACAAGAAACCAACAAATAATTTAAGATACTGCGAGGTAAAGAATTTGACCACTACACCAGGTCATTGACTGCAGAACAGTAGGACGTTAAACCCCATTTTATCTTATTCTATGATTGATAATTTATGCTACTAGATGAAGATTATCAATTAATAGGCTATTAATTAATTGTTTGATTTATTCAGGTTCAGTATTGGTCGTCTAGTAGTGATGTAAAGGATGAAACTGATGTTTACAAGCTAGCAACTCAAGAGATTTCAAGTGACTTTATAACCCGATTTCTTACAGTTAAAGGTAATATAACTTTATTAACATCATGCAGGTCACAAGGAATGTATGACAAGAATTCATGTCACTGGTCTGTTGACTTTTGAAATGAAATGAAATGGGGTTTAACGTCCTACTGTTTTGCAGTGTTGCATTTTGATAAATAAATAATAATAATAGTGGTTCTCATAAAGTGCTAGACTTTTGTTTAAAGACACTCAGAGATGGGGCTGTCTGTAGATGTAGTAGTAGAGAGTTCTAAGTCTGTGCTGTATTAAAGTTGAATGATCTACACCCAAAGGTCTTCAGGTTATACATTGGAACAGTTAAAAATGGCATTATGGGAGAATAATAATAATAATGTCCTAAAATCCAACCGAAGCTGCTCTTTGGTAACATTATGGTCAATTAAAACAAAAACACTAGTTAAAAATCAACAGTTAAAAGAAAACGTTTCTAAAAAGATGGGCTTAAGATTCTTTTTAAAACTGTCAATTGATGCACGGTACTTTAGTTCTATAGGAAAATCATTAGAATTCCACAGTTCTGCTGCCGCAAAAGCAAAGAAGCGTCTACTGAAAGAAGAGTTTGCAGTTACTGATTTAATAAGGTACTTAGTTTCGGAACGAAGATTTATGGTAGGGTGGTAGGGTTGAATTGATTCTTTAATATAAACAGGGGAGTGAGTTCTTTCAAAACGGGGGTAATATTGGTGTATAATTTAGTTCTTGTAACAATTCTTGCAGCTCTGTTTTGAATCTTTTGTAGTCTATTAATTTGATATACTGGTAAGTTGTAGAGTAACGAGTTGCAGTAATCGAGATGTGAGGTCACCAAAGAGTTAATTAACAGTTTTGTAGAGTCAATGTCGAGGAAATTGCGGATCCGTCCAATTTTGTGAAGTTGGAAATTGGAAGCTTTATAGATTGAGGAAATGTGAGCATTCATGTTCATATTGATATAAGAGTTGACAGTTCTGGCTATGATAGTTAAAAAATAGATAACATAAATAGAATATACTGAAGTGGGTACGATAAAAAACAATGTCTTGGTTATCCATTTTAGTTTAATTATTTTCCAATTCCGTAAATATTACAGGCTAGCAATGACATCAACAGATGATTATGTTCTCGATAAGTTAATTAATGTCTGATTAATAATTAAGATAACATTTCACGCCTAAAGAAAGACCTGCAATAGGCAGATTTAATACTTGCATAATGTATGTTTAATAAACACTGGAAACCAGATCGCAGTGATCCAGCTGGAGTGTATTTATGAATAGTATTACATAAGTAGTTTACACTGATACGTTGCCTTTTAATGGTGATTGAGTCATTACTGATATTTTATCAAAGGTAGTAAAATATACCTGTGTTTATTAATAGTGTTTTAATTAAATTGAATTCTGAAATTAATTAAAAAAAAATTTTTTTTTACAGAGAGAAGATTACAAGAATAACTGAGGATGTCAAAGTATTCTGTTTCCAATAGAAGGCATCAATGTGATATTTGTGATAAATCATTTGAATACCTGTCTAGTTTAAATAAACACATGATGATTCATACTGCAGAGAAGCCCTATAAATGTGATGTTTGTGATAAATCATTTAGAGACTCTTCAGATTTAAATAAACACATCAGGATTCATACGGGTGAAAAACCCTATAAATGTGATGTTTGTAAAAAATCATTTACCATCGTTAGTAACTTAAATAAACACATCAGAACCCATACTGGTGAAAAACCCTTTTCCTGTGATGTTTGTAGTAAATCATTTACCACTAGTAGTCATCTACGTAGACACACCAGATCCCATACTGGCGAAAAGCCCTTTTCTTGTGATGTTTGTAGTAAATCATTTACCAGTAGGGATGTTCTACAGCGACACAGAAGAATTCATACGGGTGAAAAACCCTTTTCTTGTGATGTTTGTAGTAAATCATTTACTGGGATTAGTGATCTACAAGTACACACCAGAATCCATACTGGTGAAAAACCCTTTTCTTGTGATGTTTGTAGTAAATCTTTTATCTCTAGTAGTAATCTACATAAACATACTAGAACTCATACCAGCGAAAAACCCTTTTTCTGTGATGTTTGTAGTAAATCTTTTACCACTAGTAGTATTTTACATCAACACACCAGAATTCATACTGGTGAAAAACCCTTTTCTTGTGATGTTTGTAGTAAATCATTTACCACTGGCAGTGATTTACAACGACACACCAGAACCCATACTGGTGAAAAACCCTTTTCTTGTGATGTTTGTAGTAAATCATTTACCAGTAGCAGTTATCTAAATGTACACACCAGAATTCATTCTGGAGAAAAACCCTTTTCTTGTAATGTTTGTAGTAAATCATTTAACAATAGTGGTATTCTACAAAACCACATTAGAATTCATACCAGAGAAAAACCCTTTTCTTGTAATGTTTGTAGAAAAGCATTTACACTAAATGGTAATCTTCAGCAACACATGAAAACACACACGGGTGAAAAACCCTTTTCTTGTGATGTTTGTAGTAAATCATTTACACAGAATAGTACTCTACATAGACACATGAAGATCCATACTGGAGGAAAAAAACTGTAGTCAGCGAAGTTTGTAGAAAATCTTTAGCTTGTGATGTTTGTAGTGACACCTTTAGCTTGTAGCTTGTGATGTTTGTTATAAAACCTTTAGCTTGTGATGTTTGTTATAAAACCTTTAGCTTGTAGCTTGTGATGTTTGTTATAAAACCTTTAGCTTGTAGCTTGTGATGTTTGTTATAAAACCTTTAGCTTGTGATGTTTGTAGTGACACCTTTAGTTTGTAGCTTGTGATGTTTGTTATAAAACCTTTAGCTTGTGATGTTTGTAGTGACACCTTTAGCTTGGAGCTTGTGATGTTGGTTATAAAACCTTTAGCTTGTAGCTTGTGATGTTTGTTATAAAACCTTTAGCTTGTGATGTTTGTAGTGACACCTTTAGCTTGTAGCTTGTGATGTTTGTTATAAAACCTTTAGCTTGTAGCTTGTGATGTTTGTAGTAAAACCTTTAGCTTGTGATGTTTGTTATAAAACCTTTAGCTTGTGATGTTTGTAGTAAAACCTTTAGCTTGTAGCTTGTGATGTTTGTAGTAAAACCTTTAGCTTGTGATGGCTTGTGATGTTTGTAGTAAAACCTTTAGCTTGTGATGTTTGTAGTGACACCTTTAGCTTGTAGCTTGTGATGTTTGTTATAAAACCTTTAGCTTGTGATGTTTGTAGTAAAACCTTTAGCTTGTGATGTTTGTAGTAAAACCTTTAGCTTGTGATGTTTGTAGTAAAACCTTTAGCTTGTGATGTTTGTAGTAAAACCTTTAGCTTGTGATGTTTGTAGTAAAACCTTTAGCTTGTAGCTTGTGATGTTTGTAGTAAAACCTTTAGCTTGTGATGTTTGTAGTAAAACCTTTAGCTTGTGATGTTTGTAGTGACACCTTTAGCTTGTAGCTTGTGATGTTTGTTATAAAACCTTTAGCTTGTGATGTTTGTAGTAAAACCTTTAGCTTGTGATGTTTGTAGTAAAACCTTTAGCTTGTGATGTTTGTAGTAAAACCTTTAGCTTGTGATGTTTGTAGTAAAACCTTTAGCTTGTCATACTAGAGAGAGACCCTTTTCTTGTAATATTTTTATAGCACATCATTTATACATTAAAATAAAATCTGTACCAAAGGAGTTTAATTAGTTTGTTATGAATGAAGAAACAAAGGTTAAAACATAGATATGCCGTCATCCTTTGATGTTTTTAACCAGTATATAGGAGAATGTACGCTTTTCTTAAACAAGCGTCTATTATTTATAAAACTGTCCATTATTATAATGGACAGTTTTATAAATAATAGACGCTTGTTTAAGAAAATAAGCGTCTATTATTTATAAAACTGTCCATTATTATAATGGACAGTTTTATAAATAATAGACGCTTGTTTAAGAAAATACCAATAATAGACACTTATCTGAAAAATGAACATGTATTTTGGGATAATTTATTCTCTGAACAAATTAAATTACAGAACATGAAATTACTTTAAAACCTCATAGTTACCGAAATGTCACATGACCGAATGTTGATTTCATGTGTTTGCCTACATAAAGAATTGCACTTAAATCCGTCCGTTATATGCCACTTGTCCGTTTAATAGTACGTTCGGCACTAGATCGATGATACGTTTTTATACGCCCACATTTTCACACCTCCTTTGTGTAAGTGTAAATTATTTAATTAAACCAACTCTACAGGTTATAACTTGAAATATAGGTATATATCCCAAATATCTTGGTTCCTTTCGTTATTGACTTGTATAGGACCGTAACTTCATGGATTATGGCCCCCAACTGTACACACTAGAGGTCACAATTATTAGCCCATTTTGATGAAGCTGAACATGTGTGTTTATAACCCAAAGATCTCGATTCCTTGCGATATTGGCATATATCGGACCATAACTTCCTGAATTATGGCCCCTGATTGAACAAAAAAAAAGTGTTTTGAGCCTGTGGAACCTATACAGGTCACAATTTTTATTCGATTTTAAAAAACGTTCAAGTATATCACCGTTACACCATAATGACAGTTGAATTTGAATTTCGTGAATTGGTTTGTGCCTTTGATCCTGTGTCCTGTCACTTATATCAGAGTATATATTAAATATTAATTCAAAACTTGAACGGCTAGTACCCTCCATATTAACCACTGTACTAAGATTATTATCAATATCTAAATCATTCTCGTGAGCGGCCTTTCCATCACAACTTTGACGGCTATCATTCTCCCATATCAAGAACATCACAATTTTTACGACTATTATCTTCCATATCGAGTACACTACCAATTTAATCAGTATCCAAATGCTTATCACATATATTCTCATTGTTAATATTTGTTTTCAACTATGTTATAAACATGTCGTCTCCATGTCGAATATTTTGGACTGTCTGTGTATGCTTGCATTGTATGACTTGGAGTGTTTTGTCAAGTGCATTCATGTGCATGTTGTTTTAAGAATATATCCATTATTTTATGGCTTGTTGTTTTAGAAAACTATCCATTATTTGTATCTCTATGGTGCTATGTTTTAAGTTTGATAACAACCTCAGACTGTCCATTATGTAAATACAAAGAAAAACTTCGGGGCTAACGCCCCTCAGTTGTTCTTTCTATTTACATTATGGACAGTCTTCGGCCATTATCCATCACATAATGTAATGTATCCACCTCAACTAGTCAGCCATTTGAATAAAGGCCTACAAATGTTATTATTGTAGACAAGACATTAAACTCTGCTCTGTCAATTTTTTTACGTAAATTGTTGTCACCCCTGTCCGTGTGCTTGGACGGATGTCTACCAGTCCGTTCACAATTTGTTTGTGGACACTGCCGGTCACAATTTGTATCTAATTTTGAAAACTATAGCTTTATATACCAACGAAGATGGCTCCTTTCAATATTGGCTCGTATCGGACCATAACTTCCAGGATTAAGGCTCCTATGTAAGAGAAATTTTAACCTGTGGACACTCTAGAAGCCAAAATTTTTGTCTGATTTGGATAAAATAAGTACGAACAATCTAAACCATTAGACAAAATTCAAAGTCCTAAAAAAAAAACGGTATTGGCAAAATAGTGTAATCACCACACAGTGGTAACAGGTGTCCGGAAGAGTACGCTAACTCTGTCTGGCGCCATAGCTGCATCCAAACCTTTAGACAAAATCTCGGTAAAATAGCGTGCTTGGCCAATGGACTATCCGTATGCCAAATACACGTGATGAACAGTGTTAAATAATGCAGTGGACATAATCAGAATGGTCCTCAATAGATGTTGTCTATTATTGTTACGTAAAATACAAATCATCTGGAGTCATCCCGGTTCCTTTCGATATTGGCATGTATCTGACCGTAACTTCATGGATTATATCCCCTGTTTGTACGAAAAATCACGTTTTTTGCTTGTGGACCCTATAGAGGTCACAATTTTGATCCGATATTGTTGAAACTTAAAATGTAAGTTTATAACCCAAAGAGCTCAATTCCTTTCGATATTCGCGCATATCGGACCATAACTTCCAGAATAATGGCCCCTGATTGTAAGAAAAATCGCATTTTTAGCTTGTGGACCCTATACAGGTCATAATGTTTATACGATTTAAAAAGCCGTATTATTATATCACCGTTACACCATAATGATGGTTGAGTTCAAATTTCGTAAAAATCTCACCTAAACTGACGAACAAAATGTGTATCAGGGTTGTAGACCCTCTGGAGGTCACAATTTTCATCTGATTTTGATGAAACTTCATATGCATGTTTATAACCTACAGATCTCGGTTCCTGTTCATATTCGCGAATATTGGACCATAACTTCCTGAATTATGTCCCCTGATGTACGAAAAATCGCGTTATTATACGCCCACATTTTCATTAGACATATTTGTCGTCGCTCCTGTCCGTCCGTCCACAATTTGTTTGTGGACTCTCTACAGGTCACAATTCTTGTCCGATTTTGACGAAACTTGAAATATTGGCATGTATCGGATCGATACTTCATGGACTATGGCCCCTATTTGTACGCAAAATCACGTTTTATGCTTGTGGACCCTATAGAGGTCACAATTTATATTCCATATTGTTGAAGCTTGAAATGTAAGTTTATAACCCAAAGAGCTCACTCAGTTCCTTTCGATATTCGCACATATCGGACCGTAACTTCCTGAATAATGGCCCCTTATTGTAACATGACGAAGGTGTTATCCATCTTTCTGAACCAGAAAACAGGTTGAAAAGGAGCGGTTCGAATGCCTTCTTCTGGCGACATCATGTAAATTTTGAAAATCAGCGGGTTTAAGGACTTCCCATCGGTAAACCGTGGATCTGTCCATAATAGTTTTTCCCCGTGTGAAATATGTGGATTCCAGGCATTGCTTGATCAACGGAATACTGGTATGAACTTGTAGTGGTGTATCGAGTGGTGTAGAAAGTTGTCGAATACGGGTTTCAAGAACTCTGAAATCAAGGCTTCTTCTTTTGGCACATTAATGAGTGGGTCGACAACACCGTACGGGGGCAATTCATTGGAGTCCTTAATGAAAATATCACTTTGTCTGGAATATCTAGGAATATCATGAGTATGGCGAATTCTACGGATTGTATTTATAATATTAGGTGAAACAGACATAGTAGACATTTTGTTCTCGATTTTCGAAACAACCTGAACCTAGCTCCCTAACTAGATGGAATATAATGTACACTCACAAACAACAATGACCCGTTATCGTCAGATATGAGTTACTCGGGTAGGAGTTGGTCCACGTCATATTTTAGACTTTCCACAGTGCTTATAAAAGGTACCCTGACCACTCGGACCAAAATGGCGGATGTCTGATTCCAGCAGATAAGACGTAATTATTAATTTGATATAACGTACCGGTTTATAAGTTCATTGTAGATGATTAATATTTGTTATTTAATGTTCAATTAAATACGAAGAAGCATAACAAATAATTTAAGAATAAGATACTCTATGGTAATGATATGACCAAACCCAGAAATTGCAGAACAGTTGCAGTAGTACGTTAAAATCCTAAAAGTTTTATGGTTGATAATGTATGGCGCTTGATGGACAATATCAATTAATATTAATTATTTACTTTATTCAGGTTCAGTATTGCATGAAGATAAGAATTCAAGTCAGTTGTTTGTTGCCTTTCAATAATAATAATAATAATGTGAACATTTGTATAGCGCTATTCCACACTGACTGTATGCTCGTAGCGCATGCAAAGAGTTCAGTTTTCTACAATCTTAGCAACAATTCAAAGCACATTTCTAAAGATAACGTTGGAACAGATAAGTCTTCAATGATGATTTGAAAATTGATAGGATTGGGCACTCTTTCAAATGTAGATTATTCCAATGTGAAGCTGCCAGATATGAAAATGATATTGCACCAAAAGTTTTTAGATTGTACGTTGGTAATTGTAACTGAAAGTTATTTTTTGATCTTAGGTTCCTAGAGGGTAAATGTTCCTGGATAAGTTCCTGGAGGTACACAGGTGCTATTTTATGAACTGCCTGATATGTTAAACACAGTAATTTGAATTCAATGCATTCATTTATGCGAAGCCAATGAAGAGAGGATAAAACAGGTGAAATGTGGTCGCAAACTTTTGTTCGTGAAACAATTCTTGCCGCTGAATTTTGTATCCTTTGAAGTCGATTTTGTTGTTCTTTTGTAATAATAGATTATTGCAATAGTCTAGTCGAGATAGAATAAGACATCGGACCAGAGTTGTTGCAGCATCTGCTGTTATGAAATGACGTATTGAACCAATGTTTCGAATGTGGTAATGACATGTTTTGCAGAGGAAATTGATCTGATTTTCCATTGATAGATTATTTTTCATGATAACACCCAGATTTTTAATGTAACTTGAAAGGTTGATGTTAGAATTATCAATTTTCAAATATGTAATGTTACTCTTCTTTAATCTTCTCGGAAGGGCAATGATTCCATTTTCATGCAGCAAGACAACTGACTATCCTTTTCTGGAGTGAAGAAATTTATGATTTGTGAGTCGTCTGCATAAAAATGGTGGTATAAATCCTTTTTGATGAGCAGTTTACCAAGTGGTTTCGTGTACGTACAAAACAATACGGGTCCTATTGTTACTGATATTTTATCTGAGGTTAAAAAATATACCTGTTTGAATTAGATTAACCTATGAAATTAATTAATGTTATTTTTTTTACATAGAGAAGATTACAAGAAAAACTGACAATGTCAAAGCATTCTGTTTCCAATAAAAACTTTCAATGTGATATTTGTGGTAATTCAATAAGTGACTCTACTGGTTTAAGTAGATAAACCATTTAAATGTGATGTTTGTAGTAAATCATTTAACAATAGTGGTGATCTACAGTGCTGTACATCAACACACCAGAACTCATACAGGACAAAAACCCTTTACTTGTGATGTTTGTAATAAATCTTTTACCACTAGAAGTTATCTACATATACACACCAGAACTCATACTGGTCAAAAACCCTTTTCTTGTGACGTTTGTGATAAATTATTTAATAACAGTAGTAATCTGAATAGACATAAAATAATAAGATACTGGTGAGAAACATTTTATATCTTGTAGTCCCCAAAAACTCATTCTGAAGAAAAACATGTTTGTAATAGATCATTTACCACCAAAAGTATTCAACAGATAGAGAGAGAGAGAGATTGAGGGGGCGTTTTAGACATATAGGGGTCCAATGTGTACAATTGGGGGGAAATGTCATTATGTTGACATGAATGATTATCATGTTATATATTAATAAAACATAAATTTCTAGGACTGTCCATCTCCAAAGAAGGGGGGGGGGCGGTAAAATTGGCGGGGAATGAGTTCACACTGATTTAAATGGTGATTTTCTTAGAGCTTAGTAAAAACTTATCAAATCATCTAAGAAGACAACTTGTCTACTCGATCCTCTTCCAACAAATATCCTTGTTGAATATCTTGATCTGCTTCTTCCAGTCATTACTCAGATTGTGAACACAAGTCTTAGTACAGGAGTATTTCCTTTAATATATAAAGATGCCGTTGTAAGACCCCTTATTAAGAAAACTTCTCTTGACCGGAATGTTCTTAAGAATTACAGACCCGTCTCAAATTTGTCATTCCTCTCCAAAATCATTGAAAAGGCAATAAACAATCGACTACAGTCCTTCGTAGTTTCTCGAAATCTTTTAGACAAATTTCAATCTGCTTACAGACCACATCATAGCACTGAGACAACTATCCTTTGTGTGCTAAATGATCTGCTGCGCTCCGTAGATAGTGGTAAACTTGTGTCCTTGACCCTGTTAGATTTGTCTGCCGCGTTTGATACTGTCGATCATGAAATTCTCTTAAGAAGACTTTATCAAACTTTTCACATAATGGATTACAATGGATTAAATCTTATCTTACTGACAGAAGACAGAAGATCATTATAAACAAATCTCATTCCGAGTTTGCAAACCTTAATTGTGGAGTGCCTCAAGGATCTGTTCTTGGACCGGTATTGTTTATACTGTACACACGATGTCTGGGGGATGTTATAGACCAGTTTGATATAAGCCATTTCTCCTACGCTGATGATACTCAGTTAATCAGTAAGTTTAAACAAGACAATGCTCATGATTCCTTTGAAAATACCACTCGCTGCTCCAAAGCTGTTAAATCCTGGATGAATAATAATAAATTGAAGTTAAACGATAAAAAAACAGAAGCAATACTTGTTGGAACACCACAGCGTCTCGCATCAACTCCTGATTCTCGTCTTGTAATTTGCGACTCTAGTATTGAATTTGCAACAAGGGTTAAAAATCTAGGTGTTATATTTGATCCGTCTTTAACAATGGAAAAACAGGTTGATCAGTTATGCCGTGTTTGTAATTTTCATCTCCGTAGTATAGGAAACATTCGTCATCTATTGACTACTGCTGCTTGTCATCTTTTGGTGCGGTCTCTAATTTTTTCAAGATTGGACTATTGCAATAGTGCCTTGGCTGGAATATCTCAACATTTATTAAAGCGACTTCAAATAATTCAGAACAACTGTGCCAGAATCATCACAAGAACAGCAAAACGTCAACATATAACATCTGTCCTTAAATCGCTTCACTGGTTACCAATAGAGGCTCGTATAAACTTTAAAATCTTAACACTGGTCTACAAGTCTCAGAATGATTCAGCTCCATCCTATATCACAGATCTTATGCAGCCTTATGTACCAAACCGACCACTCCGTTCACAGAATAATCTATCACTTGTTGTACCTTCAACTAAATTAAAATCTTTTGGTGATAAAGCCTTCAGTGTATATGGTCCACGACTATGGAATGACTTACCTGACAAAATAAAGTGTTCAGAAACAGTTGCTCAATTTCGATCTAGACTTAAGACGCATATGTTCACGATCTATTATCCACAGAAGCCATTAACTTACAGCGCTTAGAGCATGCTCATGGATGGATTAAGCGCTATATAAATGTACATTATTATTATTATTATTACTTTTTAATTCCATTGCGCATCTCTAAAGATTCCCATTGTATGGGGCTGGGATAAAATGTAATTTTGGGGACAGAAATCACTTAGTAAAAAATGGACCTGAAAAGTGTTTCGTCGTTAGCTTTTTCGTTCAGTTCTCCACAAATCAAACCAGTTGTCCAATGGGATCATAAACACTTTAGAGATAGGTAATCCTAGAAATTTATGTTTTATTATTATATAACATGGTCATCATTTATGTCAACATAATCACATTTTACCCCAATTGTAGACTTTGGGCCCCCATATCTTGAAAATGCCCCCTCAAACTCCTGGTCACCACCCAGATTCGGAATCTCATCTGGGGCGTATGAATACACGTATGTACATGTTGTTTGTACAGGTTTGTGTCATTCATGTCGAAGTCGCCATCAAGTTCAGTTCACATTCGTTTATAATAGTGGTGTACTAATCCTGTCTTGAATAATTATAATTCATTATGTATTTTGTTTTTTATATATTTGTAGGTTTATGTTAAAGAGGTGTATTATCGATGTAAGCCTATACGACGGTGATATTATGTATATATTAAACTATTGTTGAATTATTATTGTATATCTGGTGTGAAATAAATTGGAGTCAGTTGTTCAGTCAGTTAGGTGGCTTCGACTCTGCTACCCAAAAAATGTCTTTATTTTATGTATCAGGGGTTATACATTGGCCTGTTGATCTTAGAAAAGATTAACTTCGGTAAAGGTGTCTTGCTTGCATGTATTTAGTGACGAGGGGGGGTGGATTTTTATAAACAGATAAACTTTATCAGTTTATAAAGAAGATTATTTATTTACACACCCTCTACTAACGGCTTATTTCTATAAAACAAATTTAAATATAATTTATTTTACCACCAATAATAATTTAATGTATCTTCAAATATGTTTTTTTTTAATGGAACAAGAAAATTAAAATCTGTTCAAAAGGAGTTTATTTACTTTTTTTATCAATGAAAACTAAAAGATTTCCTAATTTACTACCTGGCCAAACCTATGGTTTTTCGCGACATTGGTCTTTCTAAAAGGTTGTAAGTAACGAAGAGTATGATTACCTGGACAGACCCATTGTTTTTATGTGGAAAAGCAAAGTTCTATCAGTAAAAACCAAATAGCTTGACCTGTAGATTATTTACAGATTAAAACCTGTTTTATTCCGGTGTCTCAGTTATATAAAAATAACCACTTTAATTATACTAATTTCAAAATAACCACTTTAATTATACCAATTTAAAAATAACTGCTTTTATTATTCCAATTTTAAAATAACCACTTAATTATACAAAATTTAAAAACTTTAATTAAACCAATTTTAAAATAACTGCTTTAGTTATACCAATTTACTAATGGTACTAAGACTTTTATTTTTGAGACTCTGTTCAAATCAGGATAGTCTCTTTAAAAATAACTGGTTTAGTTATACAATTTACAAAGAAACACTTTAATTATTCTAATTTCCAAGTATTGAAATTTTGGGATGGTCCCTTAATACCAAGAAATTCCACAACCTCTATTTGTTCCTAAGTGTCAATTTCTTAGCTTTAGTAAGAATAACGATATGTCCTGAAAACCCCACAAAATAAGTGATTTCCAACAAAAACAAAAAAAAGTTGCACAAACCTAAATTGAATTCAAACATATTTGCTTATAAAGTAACGATTTATTTTCAAAATTCCCCCAAAATGTGATTTATGAGCATAACCAAGGGACATAACTTTTGGATTACACAAAATCGCTTGCTTTGAAATCAAATTTTGGGAAACAAAAACGCTACGAATCGTAGCCTACGATTTTAAATTTAATATGACAGTTTGCCATAAAGAACAGTATATTATCAAATATAGATATTTACAAATTAGAATTTGTAATTGTGGAATACCACGTTTTTTCACAAACGCAAAAATGAATTGAAATCTGTAAACATGTAGACAAAGAATTAATAACAAAAGTCAAACATAAAGATGTTAAACATATTTGAAATCAAATGTTGATAATACAATTAAATATAAATGAATTAGAAATAAATACATTGTTTACATAAATCATTCAGTAAATGGACATGAATATGGTTATCTACTCTTACAAAAATGAATGTGAAACGAAGGCTGTTTCATTAGTATTCTACAAGGTCAGAGCAGATAATTTGAAATGGTGGAAGCCCTGTGGATTAAAGCTGTACTCCGATTACAAAACTACAGAAATAATTAAATAAAAAAAGGGTTACGCCCAATACAACCGCCATACTTGTTTTCAATTTCTTGAACTAACATGGCGATTGCTTTGGGCGGACAAACACATAGGCAGGCCATGCCCACTTCCAGTATTTGCCGTGTCAACCGAAGTGTCCACATCCAGTTGGATATAGTCAACTACCAATTACCTCCTGACGACTGAAGTCTTTCGACTATCAGCTCACAGAAAATATTATTGCTACACAATTATTGTCTGATCCAGGTATATATTATTTTACTAATTAGACGAAATAAGTCAACCAAGGTGTACGTTTCCTCTAAAAGTAACAGAGAAATTGCCTTACCCCAAACAAAAACGAATCAACCAGCACCCAACCAATTGTTTCTTATTTTGTGAAATTTTTGCACAACAGAGTAGAACACCAAATACTTTTCTGAGTCGTAAAGTCTAGTATTATCGTTCCAAAATATATCCAAAGCAGCAATAAAACTGTAGTCCTCTCCATCAAATAAGTATGCTTTCACTTCCAATTGTTGTTATAATGGCGATCAAGGGACATAACATATTTTTCTGATGTCATAGAAAGTTGGTTATGGTCTTAACAAGTTAAGAAATGTCTAATTAAAGCGGCATTAGGTAAGAATAGGTGAACAGTTGACAATTCGCTCTAAAATAGTAAAGAAATAGATAATTAAAAGAGAATATGTTGAAAATTTCAGTCAAATTACTTCAGTCTGAGCCTAGATATTAGCAATTCAATTATAGACTAGCCTCAAACCTCATTACTACCATCGGCGTTGTTATGATAAACAAAGTCGCAATTATCCATTTTTACAGTAACCGCATACACCAGAACACATATTTGAATCCACTGAATATTGCAGGCATCAAGAGTTGATTATGGCCTAATTAATAGTTTAGATAACATTTAAGGCCTATAGAAAGACCTGCAATAGGCAGATTTAGCTCATGCTCAATGCATGTTGAACTGTGCTTTAAAGAGTTTTATAGTAGTAGATAATTTTATATGTTGGTTGTTCATAAGTTGCAGTAACCATAATAGTTTGGAATTTCTCTTCTGTATCATTCTTATCAAATACATGTACATTACAGAAATTATGGAATATAATGTACAAACAATGATGACCTGTAATCTTCAGATATGAGTTACTCGGGTAGGAGATGATCCACGTCATGTTTAAGACTTTCACAATGCTTATAAAAATGGCGGATTCTGATACCAGCAGATAAGACGTAATTATTAATCTGATATAACGTACCGGTATGTAACTTCATTGTAGATGATTAATATCTGTTATTTAATGTTCAATTAAATACGAAGAAGCATAACAAATAATTATTAAATTATGGTTGATAATTTATGTCACTTTATGAACATTACCGGTATCAATTAATATTAATTATTTACTTTATTCAGGTTCTATAGTAGGAGGTGATTTTATATGTTGGTGGTTGATAAGCCGCAGTAATAAATAATAATTTTTGAATTTCTCTTCAACATCATTCTTATCAAATACATTACAGATTCGATTTATCTTTATATTTGTAGTTTAAATTATGGGATATAATGTACACTCACATAAACAATGATGACCCGTAATCTTAAGATATGAGTTACTTGGGTAGGAGATGGTCCACGTCATATTTTTTTAACTTCCACAGTATTTATAAAAATGGCGGATGTCTGATTCCAGCAGAAAAGATGTAATTATTATTTTGTTATAACGTACCGGTATATTGGTTCATTGTAGATGATTAATATCTGTTATTTAATGTTCAACTAAATACGAAGAAGCACAACAAATAGTTTAAGAATAAGATACTCTATGGTAATGATACGATCAAACCAAGTCATTGCAGAACAGTTGCAGAGCACTTTTACTCAGGTGGCTGTTAAAGGTAATATAAAGGTTGCTTGAAGTCCTGTATCAGAATATTTAAATATTGATAGCCCTATAGATTATAATGTTTTAGTTTTCCTCCTGTCAGTGGGGCTTCACGGATGGCCTGGCATGCAATATTGTCAAGTTGTTTAGATGGTACAAAAAAGCTGCAGTTCTGTGTACACATTGGCTTGCAAGTGAATGATAAATTGGAATTTGAAATCAGAGTATGCTAATCCATAGCACCTCTCTGTCTGGGCAAAATTTCCTTAATAGCACATTTCATGGAATTAGCATATTAAAGGACAATATTGGTGTCAGGCATTACATCCCACTTCTACTCGTTGCCACTGGCAACCTTTATTTGCAATACATGCATAAAAGTATCCATTTACACACCAGAACCCATACCAGAGGAAAACCCTTTTCTTGTGATGTGTGTAGGAAATCATTTACCACTAGTAGTCATCTACAGCAACACACCAGAATCCATACTGGTGAAAAACCCTTTTCTTGTGATGTTTGTAGAAAATCATTTACCACGAGCAGTGATCTACATGAACACACCAGAAGTCATACCGGAGAAAAAACCCTTTTCTTGTGATGTTTGTGATAAATCATTTTTAACTAGTTCTCATCTACAATGACACACCAGAATTCATACTGGTGAAAAACCCTTTTTTTGTGATGTTTGTAGACGACGATTTAACACTAGCAGTGATCTACAGCAACACGTCAGAATTCATACTTAAAGTTACAATTTCATATTTTCTAAGAAAGTCAAAACATAATTATTTCTATGTCTTTTGCTTAATAGGTTGTTGTCAACTCACTATTATACGATCATAGGTGTCATTCTCACACTTAAAACAGATTTACACCGGAAATAATAACACAATTACCTCCCTTGTTTTCTAATCTCCACCATGGAGTAGCTAACTTCAAACGTTTAAATTTGTCGATGAAAATGATATTTTTGCCAATTTCTCAACTGTCAATAGTGAATTATAGGATTAATAGGATTATTCTTTAACAAGGTAGGACTGTTTATATATACCATCTATTTTAAGGCTTTATTTTAATAAATTTTAAAAACATAACTTAAAAATATGAAATTGCAACTTTAACCCCTTTTCTTGTGATGTTTGTGGTAAATCATTTTCAATTACTACTCATCTGTGACATACCAGAACTCATACTGGAGACCCATCCCCCCTTTTTGTTTTTTTCTTGTGATATTTGTAGAAAATCATTTTCTTTTAATCTTTGTAGTAAATAATTTTCAGCTTATCTATAACCACACACGAGAATTTATACTGGAGATAAAACCATTACTTGTGATGTTTGTCATAAATTATTTAAAAGCAAGTAGTAATCTAAATAAACATAAACAAATTCATACTAGAGAATTACATAAATCTAATATTTATGATATTAGATAATACTTATCCTGACATAACTATTTGCATATTCCGTTTTTCCTTCTCGGTAATCGTCGGAAGACATCAAAGTAAAACTGAAACACCGCCATGACCTCTGACCCACCTCACTATCACCACTGACCACATCACGTGTCATTACTGTCTTAAACTTCCTCTTCCGTTAACCTGCTAACCATTATAACATAGTCACATGCCAAGGGGAGGACGGCGGGATCGAGATCTTATGTCAGGATAAGTATTATCTAATATCATAAATATTAGATTTATGTAAATTAATTTACTACTTATCCTGACATAACTATTTGCAGAATTCATCAGAAAAGGCGGTGCTGGCATCTTGTCACGTGGAGTAGTGGTGATACTAAAAATAGATTTCAGAAATCAACGGTAAAACTCGATACATCTCGGTTACCGTGACCCCAAATGCACATACTTCCGAGTAATTAATATGATATCATAAATCATATAAAAACACCGAAAAGTGCCCGTATCACATTTTTGGAGAACAAGACAAAACTGGAACCCACCTGTCTTGGTTTCTGGCGCTGCTTTCTGTCTATATATATCCATTATATTACAAATAACCATCACCATAATAAAGGTCAAGGCCTCTAACCCTTCAACGTAATTACACTGCTACCATATATACATCAATAATCACACCATTATTATCGAACTCTTCTAGGCCCTGAAAGCACTTGTTGTGCTGCCACCAACGGACCCAATGAATGAACGCCATCTAAAGTCTCATCCGATAAATCTCGCAAATAGAAATTTGCAAATGTCGTATCACCAGACCAAAAACACCCCTTCATAATGTCGCTGACAGAGATATTATTATGAAGAGCTAAAGTTGCTGCGTATGCACGAATTTCATGAGGTCGATCCGACACAGGAGGCGGAAGACCTGCACTTGAGTAAGCTGCCAAAATCGTAGCCCGTAACCAAAAGGCGAGAGTATTTTTCTTCACGTCACCGTGCTTCGCTTTCAGTGGTAGAAAAAGCCGCTTTCGCTGACGTCTGAAACTACTTGTAGACTGTAAATAGATATTTAACGCGCGAACGGGGCACAACGATAAATCTTCATTGTCGTCAGGGCCCAAAATGTTATCCAGTGACCGAATTAAAAATGTTCTATCAGGTTGACCTGGTCGTTGATTCTTGGCCACGAAATCGAACATAAGCCCAAGCTGCACCGCACCCTTCTCGGTCCGTATAAATTTGACTTGAGTGACATCCAACGCATGTATTTCGGAAACTCTAGCAGCCGTGGCAAAAGCGAGTAGAAATGCTGTTTTATATGCAAGATGTGTCATGTCAGCTTCCAGCAACGGTTCATAAGGTGATTTTGTTAAATACTTCTGTAATTGGTCCTCCTGACGAAACCCCTTCACCATCGCTGAAATAACATTGGACTGTCCAAGTTTGACGGACATAATTTTATCACGAACAGATGCAATTGACGTCACATACGACGCTATAGTTCCATCTCGCAACTTTTTAGATTCTCGTAGAAAGATTATGAAATCAGCGATAGTTTGCAAAGGAGTCCTATCGGGTATGACTTTATTTACATTACACCAATCTACAAAAGTCTTCCATCTGACATCATAGGCATCACGAGTAGAAGATCTGTGAGCCTTCAATACAGCAACTGATGATTTCTCAGAAAACCCTTTTTCCATCAGTCCTTCCCGAACAAAGTCCAAGCGTGAAGTTGGAATAACTCCGGGTTTGGATGAGCTTGCTTTGTGTGAGGGCTTACTAGAAGTCTTTTCCAGACTGGTAATTTTATAGGATTTACTTCTGCCAACTGAACGAGATCAGGGAACCATTGACGTGTTGGCCACCAAGGCGCGATCAAAAGAATTTTGCATTTGTAGAGCCGAACTTTCTGTAGCACCCTTGGAATCAAGATTGCTGGTGGGAATGCATACGCGTCCATCAAGTGCCAACTGATCGCTAGTGCATCGTGATCTAATGCCCTTGGATCTGGAACGGGTGATACATAACTGATGATTGAGACTTGTCGCGAATAAATCCACCAATGGGGTCCATAGGCGTCTGCACACCTGTCGAAAAAGATCCGGGTGAAGCATCCATTCTGTTGCACTCGGTCTGTCCGGTCGGGATAGAGCATCCGCTATAACATTCAACGCTCCTGGAATGTGTCTGGCTCTTACTGCAATTTGAAGACTGTCTACCGTCTGATAAAAGTGAAATGTTAGGGACATTAGAACCTTCGACCTTGTTCCTCCCAGCTTGTTGATATATGTCGCTACTGTGGAGTTGTCGGTTGCGATCATTACTGTCGAATTTATTAAAAGGTCTGACCAATTTTGAACTGCTCGAATTACTGCTATAAATTCTAGAGCGTTTATGTGAAGGTTCTTCTCCTTGTGATTCCACGTTCCGGCGACGAAGGGATTGTGGATCGAAACGTTTTTCTGGTGACCCGTTAAATGAGCACCCCATCCCTGATGACTCGCGTCTGCGTGCAGATAAAACTGGGGTTCCTGCTCTACCAACGGTACCCCCGTCATCACATTTACGGGAACCTTCCACCAAAGTACATGCCGCTGTAGCTCCGAAGGTAGAACTATTAAATCCTGAAGTTCCAGTGACTCCATTCTGGACTGTATGAACATCTGCAGTGGTCGTAATTGAAGCCTTCCTTGGGCCGTAGCATACTGGGCTGATGTTAGAAGGCCTAAAGCCTTGGTCCATGTATGAACCGACTGTGGAGCATCTTGGATAGACTGAACAACTTGTTGTATCTTGTCCCATCTGTCCCGAGGTACCAACAATATTCCCCGAGACGTGTCGAATAGTCCCCCGATGAACTGGAGGTTCTGTGTAGGTATTAAGTCTGACTTCTCCTTGTTCACTAACCAACCTAGTTAGTGAAATACTTGAAGAACGAACTTCAGTTGCGCACAAAGACGGAGTTCCTCTGAGTTGGCTAGAATACAATCGTCTATGTAGGAGTCGACCCGGACTCCTCGAGAATGTAGAAATCCTACTATCGGCTTGGTAATCCGGGTAAACAACCAAGGAGCCACTGATATTCCGAACGGCAAAACCCTCCAGTGGTAATGACGTCCTTCGAAATAAAACCGAAGGTACCTGTGACATGATGGATGAATCGGGATGTGCAGATAGGCATCCTGTAAATCGATTGATGCTAGGAAATCTGCTGGACGAATCGCCCGCCGTAACTGTGCGAGCGATGTCATCTGGAACTTCGGAGGTGGAGCCAAATAAAGCTGGTTGAATGACTTCAAGTTGTGAATCATTCTCAGCTTGGTCGAATTTTTCTTTGGAACCAAAAATATTCTTGAATAAAACCCCGGAGTGAGATTGTCCAATGGGCTCTCTTCGATTGCCTCCTTCTCTAAGAGAATAAGAATGTTTTCTCTTAAGATTTCCGTATGCGCATCAGGATAAATCACTTCTACAGGTGTCTTCGTCAACGGCGGAGATGACGTCAGTTGCAGACGATATCCGTTTCTCAACACATCTGTCACCCACTGATCGCCTAAAATTTTCCAATTTTTCCAATACTTCTGGAGCC